GATCCCTGGTAAGTAAGGAATGGGTACAGTGGTTTAGTTCAGCATTTCTTAAGCTGACTGAGTTGTGGAATCCTTTTCTTCTGTTTTTTTTTTTTTTTTTTCTTTCAGTAGAATGTCTGATCAAATTCCAGAAGCCACAAACTTAGAAATGTTTATGAAGACAGACTAGAACTAACAATTTGGGAAGAATTACCTGGGTTCTCCCTGGGAACAAAGGGCTTCGAGGAACTGGAAGCCTTGTTGATTGATGGGAGATATAGAGTCCAGATTCTGGATCCTATTACAGAGAACTAGAGCAGGACCTAGGGTCAAGTAACTGGTAATGAACACTTATTCTGCATTTCTCGTGTGTGTCAAGTCACGTGGCAAGCTTTTTCTGTGAGGGACTGGATAGTGGGCAGTGTCAGCTTTGCAGGCCTCCAGATCTAGTGAAACCAGCTTGTGTTCTATGAGTGGGCGAGGCTGTGCTTCAACACAGCTCTATGGACACTGAAATTTGAATTTCATGTAATTTACAAAATATTATTCTTTTTGTTCAATTTATTTTTTGACCCTTAGAAATATAAAAAGCTGTTTTCTCCCTACTGTATATAAGCAGGTGGCAGGGCAGACTGACTCACTCGCTGGTGATGTTTGCTAGTTCTTGCCTTATGCTCAGCTCCCAATGGAGCTTACAGCCTGCTCAGGGGGCAGGTATGTGGAAAGCTGCAGTGTGTCCTGCCAGAGCTCACTATAGGCACTTTGGGAGCCTTAGGACGTTGTGCTGGGACAAGGATGTGGGTAGGTTATGAAGGAGAGCTGACATAAAGGCTCCTTGCTCAAACTTTCTTTGTCTTCAGGGTCTGCTTAGGTCCTGTATCTCCTGATCCAGCATCTCTTTCCAAGGGTCTGAACTCTACCCCCCCCCCCCACACACACACGGTGCTTGCTTAGATGTCTTGTACTGTTCTTCTGTCTCCCTATATGGTCCTGTGGTTGTTGCTTGTTTTGTGTTTAATCATCACTGTGTTTGCTTTGGGGCTTTGTCTTTGATTGGCAGCCTAGTTACTGAGGCCTTCTGGAAGGTGGAGCATGCAATAAGTCTTTCCCTCCTGAATGGTTCAAGCCTCTCTCTCCTGAGGTGGGTGGTGGGTGAGTGTTTTCCTGCTACTGAGTTGTGATTCTGACACTTACTATGAGTACTTTATGTAGTAGTGTTTTGGAAGTAGCTCAAACCAGCTCTCAAGGTCGGTGTAGCTATATCTCCAACCAGCTCTGAGGCCAATGATGGTTTGGTTGGTAGCTTGAAAGTGTCTCTGTTAGAGAACATTAACCTTAGAACTCCTTTCTTATCCTTTCAGTGTCCATACCTAGAACAGTCTTTGTGCTAGGCAGAAAGCAGCACTCCTCCATGGCCTCTGTATCAGTTCCTGCCCTGACTTCCCTCAGCGATGGAGTATGGCTGAGAGTGTGTAAGCTGCAATAATCACTTTCCTTCTCAAGTTGCTTTAGTCATGGTGTTTAGCACAGCAACAGAAAGAAAACTAGGGCAGTAGAAAACTCAGTTGATCACTTCTGAAGAATGGGGCTAATAGAAGGACCTTTCTTCATAGAAAATAAGGATGAAGTAGGTGAATACAGAGAAAAGCACCTGCCTTTAATGATCATTCAGTGAACCTGGCCATCATCATTAATATGTCTTTCTTCCTTTCCTTCATATTGTCAGATGCATGCACATAATACACAACACATTTAATATAGACATGAAAGTATAAATGAAGGCAGAGTAGAGAGCAGACCTTGTGGGCTACAGTAAAGGTATTCTAACAACTGTTGGGATTTTAAATGGGCCTTGTAGAGTTAGAAGCATGTGGATAGGTGGGGCGGGCACTTCAGCAAGCATTCTTAGAAAGAACTCTGTTCTCTGAAAGTTAGACCATCTGCTAAATATAGAAGCTGAATGTTAAAAGTAATTAGCATTAAGCTGATTCCTTCTCACGTTAGTAACAGGTTTGCTATCAAAATTCCATTTCTCTCCTTCCTAGTACCTGCTGAAGTGTTACTAAGTGTTTTGCTTTAGGACTTTAATAGATTTTAATTATTGAAAGGTGCACTTGAAAAGATGGCAGGAAAGAAATTTAAAGAAATGCCCTGTAACTCTTGGGCGTCTGTCTTATGCTTCCTGGAGAAATCGACATCCTCTGACAATGGTCTAACAGCAGTGGGGGATGACTTAATGATTGTGGCCCCTTGGAGCCCATCCTCACCCAGTGCTGTTTTGTTCTTTGTGAGTCATTCATCCTCCTGGAATGCACCTGCATTGTCTTTTGGCAAATCAGAGGTAACCCTGCATGATGCTGCCCTGTGATTTTGTTAAAACAATATGTGGGTATTAATTTTATTCATCTACTTTTTAAAAATAAGAATCTGCATAGTGATTAAAATTGACATAATTCTCTTTGAAATGTTTATTCTTCTGTCACTGATCAATCATTCCTTGGCTGACAGGACCTGGGAGTTCCTGGAGAAGAGGAATCAGAACTGGACTGTGCCAGTACCCTTCATTCTCTCCTCACTCTAAAACATGGCCTCTAGGGCAAGACAACGTGGCTTGACTCAGAATTGCCACTTTGTGGTGTGTGGCCTAATTCTGTGGCACACCTAAGCCTGTGGTTTTGACTTTCATGTTCCTCTGCTGTAAACATAGATGGTGACAGTGACTTTGCTTGTGGTGATGAGTCCACGGGGAATAGAGCTCCGATGCACACTCAGCAGACCTCTGTGCTTAGTATGTGCTAGGGACATGCTTCCTTCTTTCTCTGGATATTCAAAGTTGTCTGTCCAAAAAGTTCAGTGTGTTATATGTAAGAAGAGATGTTCCTTAAACTTACTTAAATTGGGATGGATGTGTGAAAGTTAGAGTATACATAAAACCTTTTTTTATACTTAAATATTTTATTTTAAATTTTTTAATTTATTACAATTTATTCATTTTGTATCCCAGCTGTAGCCCCCTCCCTTCTGCCCTCCCAATCCCACCCTCCTTCTCTCTTCTCCTCCCATGCCCCTTCCCCAGTCCACTGATAGGGAGGTCCTCCTCCCCTTCCATCTGACCCTAGCCTATCAGGTCTCATCAGGACTGTCTGCATGGTCTTCCTCTGTGGCCTGGTAAGGCTGCTCCCCCATCAGGGGGAGGTGATCAGAGAGCCAGCCACTGAGTCCATGTCAGAGACAGCCCCTGTTCCCATTAGTAGGGAACCCACTTGGAGACTGAGTTGTCATGGTCTACATCTGTGTAGGGATTCTAGGTTATTTCCATGCAGGGTCCTTGTTTGGGGTATCAGTAGATGAGACCTTTCAAAATGCATGTGTGCAAGACTAAGACTATGTGTTTGTTGTGGGGAGGGTCATGCAAGTTAAATAAATATATACTAATTAAACAAGAAAATCCTCTTTTTATAAAACCTCTGATATTTGTGATAGACACAATATTTTAATTCAATACACACACACACACACACACACTCACTTTAAGCATACTAAAATATAGATTAGGTAGTTTCAATGAGACACAAACTTTGCAAACATTACAGAATGTTACTACAACAAATATTTGGCAAGTCAAAAACACCTGTCAGTTGATAGGCTGATCACCTGGTGCTTAGCAAATTCATGTTCACCCAACTGGTCTCAGATCTACTCTTCTTATGCCTTTCTATTCTGGCCTGTTGATGAGCAGAAAGTTTGTTGTATGCCAGAGTCATGGTATACTGGGGAACTATTATCTACAACATTTATTTTTGGATTTAGGGGTTATAGAATGCATGATTGATTTCTCCTTATCCTTGTTTAGGGAGACATAAAATCTCTACAAAATGGTGAAAAAAAACAGTTTTGCCTTAGTTATTTTCCAAGTTCTGTAAAGCGACATAGTGACCAAAGCAACTTATGAAAAAAAGGCATTTAATTGTTTCAGAGTTGAGACCATGATGGTGGGGAGGATGGCAGCAGGCAGACAGGCATGGCACTGGAGCAGTAGCTGAGAGTTCACATCTGATTCACAATCAGGAAGAGAGAGAAAGAGAGAGAGACAGAGAGACAGAGAGACAGAGAGACAGAGAGACAAAGACAGAGAGACTGGGCCTGACATGAACTTTTGAAACTTTAAAGCCCACCCCCCAGTGACCACCTCTTCCAACAAGGCCACACCTCATAATACCTCCTAAATAGTCTATCAACTGGGAACCAAACATTAAAACATATGAACTTTTGTGGTCCATTCTCAGTTAAACCACCACAAGTTTTAACCCACATAATATTGGTGTATTACATACCAACTTCAGAAATGCATCTGTTGGAACATGCTCACTTTAGAATTCCTCTCTTAACTTTTTGGACTGTACCCCTAGAGAGGCCATTGTGGGGAGGAAGACCATGCTAGGTCTGCCGAAGGCCATGTTCAAATCCTGCTGCTCATGACATCGGGCCCATGGTTGGAAGCTTGATCATGTTGCTTGTCTTCTTTAAGATAGTTTGCCCACTTGAAATGCAGTATTCCTTGTATCCACTCACCAAGTCGTGGCAAAGGAGTTTATATGACAGAATACATGAAGGGTACACCTCTCCTCCTCTAGACCAGTGTCCTTGCCATGTAGGAATCTGTCATGTGGGACCATTTCGGGACTCTGAAAGGGGATCCCTTGACTTTGCTAGTCTGTTCCTTTTTCAGTGGTGGCTTGCCCACCAGCCAGCTGGCAACAGTCCTCTTACCTATTGTCCAGGCAGAAAGGGTCTGTAGCACCAAAGGGACAGATGCTACTGTTTGGGGGCACACTGGATATAAGGGCAAAGGGAGCATAGAAGGCCAGCTCTGAGGAAGCCAGAGAATCCCAGGAAGAATGCAAGTCTGACAGGGAGACTAGTCATCTCTGTTGGACATCTGAGGAAGACCACCATGGGGAGCGCTTGGGATCTCACAGGTGCTACAGTCTCTGTTTCTTTCTTTCTTTTTTTTCCCACAGAGACTGGCACTGGGAAGACAGAGGAGTGGAACATCCAGACAGAAACCACAGAGAAACAGGCAGCTGCAAAAGAACAAGGTAAGTAAACTATGTTTCCAAATTCTCTAGATCTTCTTTCTAACTCTGAACTTGAAGCACCCTAATAGAGTGATGGGAACTAGAAACATGGTGTACTGGTGCCAAATGCAGGTAGCACAGAGCAAGGACTGGAGTCCTTGTTACAGAACCTTAGTCTCTGGTCCTTGATGCTGGTCAAGCAGGGTGCAGGACATTCCCTATCATACAGTGTGATGGGCAGGCTTTTGGGTCACACAGGGTGCCTCATCAAGGCTTTCTTTGAGGTCTCTTTTGTGGGACAATTTGTATACATGGTGGGACATCTCAATGTCCTCATGACCAATTGCATCCTGATTCCTTGGCTGTATTCCTGCTCATACCTCCTTGCCAGATGATGGAGAGATGTTTCTGTCCTGGTGAGAAGTGATGATCAGGTCCCCAGCTTGAGAGAACTGCCTGTTGTGTATCAACTTCCACTTGCTCACTGTTCCTGGTGTGTCCTTCTGTGTGTTTCTGCTGCCTTTCTGGGAAGTCACTGTCATGTGTTGTGTACTGTGGTCTTACTGTCACGTACCTGTCACTTACCACCCACCTCAGTGGTCCTGTTGTAAGCTCAGCTGTGTGTACTCTGGCCAGTGAACTATAAGTGGGTGGGAGATTAGAGGGAAGAGCCTGTGTTTTCCAGAATGAGGTTCTTGATGCCGTAGGCAGCGATGGCTCAGGGAAAGTTGGTAAAAGGAAGCTCATTACTCCATTTAGAGCACAGAGAGAAGTGATTTGGTTTCCTGATAAGTACACTATGCACAAATTAGTCCTAGCTGTGATGCCTGGGTTCTGTTGAATGCTATTACAGACTACACTAACTAGTTGTAAGCACTAGGGTTATCCATTTCTCCTTATGAACCTATATATTTTTTTCCGTAAGACTTTCCACAGGACACTCTGTCAAATGAGTTGCATGAAAGTTTACTGCAATGGATATTATGTGAAAACAGCATCGCTGTGCCTGGCATAGTTATAGCTGATTTTTTACTGAGTCATTACTATATGCAAAACATTGTCTCAAGCACCATTCACATTGAAATAATTTAGTGTTCACAACATGAAGGATGATTGTTCCCATGAGGAAACAGACAGAGCCCCATGTCATGAATTAGCAAGATGCCTGAAGAATATTTGTTATCTTTTGATGGCATCTATATATGAATGGGATAAAAATGACATGACCTTGGCTGAGCTGAAGTGACATTAATGAAGTCAAAGAGGAACACACACACACACACACACACACACACACACACACACACACACAAACATACACCAGAAAAAAAGAGCAATAGCTTTCTCTTGCTTCTTACCACTCTTATGTGCATAGGAGAAAAATGCAAATGTTATCTCTGTGTCAGGAAATGGCCTGCTGCACCATCATCTTCTAGGCCTGGCTCCAGCTACATTGTGAGCTCCTTTTGTCTTATCAGATCTCTATTATCTCTTTGGTTGTGGGCCAGCCCATCAAGATTGTCAACAGAATCAGTGAAGAACGAGTACTGTTTGGTTCTGAACTTGCCTGACCCAGTAGATTGACTTAGAGCTTTCTCTTTGAGCCTCTGGGCACCCTTGGTCTTTTCTCCCTTTCTTTCCTCTTAATTCTTCTAGACAGCTGTATTTCTATCCCACTTCTTTAGAGGAAATTCTTTTGAGAGGTCTTGGAGATCCAGGTGGCTACCAGGGAAGGTTTCCTGCATGGCTGCTGGCTTCTGGGTGAGTTATCTCCCAACACTTTAGGTTTTTACATTTCCGTTTGTGTAGCAGGGCACTGAGAGTGTGGCCCTTGCCAGGGTTCTATATCATGCTGGAGATGTGACCAAGTCCACCTGATGTGCTTGGGAAGATGAGTAGCAGAGAGACTTGGGGATGCCTTAAGCCTCCTTCCTCCAGGGCCATAAAGGCAGCGAAGTTCAGAGGTACAGTTCTGTCTTCTAGGTAGGAACAGGTGGGAAAGGAGTGGGAGCTGGCTTCTGGTCTGCAACTGAAACCCATATGTCCCTGCTTATTTATCTCTTGGCTTTTATTTAAGAAGGAGGAAGTTAACAAAAAGTAAGATTGTGTGGAAGGGCTTCTGATGGTGTTTGGAACCTTATACCCTCCCAGAAGACAAAAGACAAGAACACAGTGATGGAGCCAGAGAGGATGTGGATCTGGCTATAGAACTTACTGCCACCTTAGGGAAGCTGGCCTGGGTTTCTTATGTGTGATATGGGAATGTTGTGAGGACTAAATGAGCTTCTGTAGGTAGAAGAGTCTGCACAGTGGCCAATGAAGAGAGTTCAGGCTGTAATTCTCAAACAGTCATATTTGAGTCTGCTGAAATAAAATGACAACATACAGATCAATAGAGAAAAATATCATGAGTGTATTTGACCATGGTTTACATAACAAAAGAGATGTTAACTCAAAGATTCAAAGATAGAGGGTCAGTTATCCAGTCTTTAATGCATAGGTTGGATGAAGCATAGGAAATCACATAGAAATAAGACTGGGCCTATAATCTAACAATAGACTGAAGAAGTAAGAAGAGTCTGCTCAAACTGCTCAAAGATGCTTTGAGGTCTTTCTGTGCAGCCTTCCTTCCTTCCTTTCTCCTTCCTTCCTCCCTTCCTCTTTCCCTTCCTTCCTTCCTGATATAGGCAGTATTTTTCTGTATTCAGGGTCATATAACTCTATCAGACAAGGAAGTTAGAGAAGTTTTGGTCAACTCTTGCACAGAAAATCCAGGGTACCTACTTCCTATGACTTGATCAAAGGAGAATGCTTGATGAGACAGGAGACTGAGAGGCAGAGAACAGCCTCCTGTACCTTTGCTCAAGGAGAACACATGCCGAGAAACAAACCAGGAAGAAGACTGAAACTGCTTCAGCCAGTTTCAATTTCTGAGCCTCAGACGAAACCATAGTATAGACCTCACTCAACAGGTGGCAGTTGACACTGGGCCTAGGGGGGCCTGCAGAGACAATACTCCAAGCAAGGACCATGCATGGAGAGAACCTAGACCCCTGCTCAGAGGAAGACCATAGGCTGCTCAGTATCTAAGTGGGTTCCCTAGTAAGTGGAACAGGGCCTGTCTCTGACATGAACTCTGTGGCTAGCTCTATGATCAGTTTCCCCTGGGGGGCGGGGGGTGTGCAGCCTTGCCAGCCCACAGAGGAAGATGATATAGTCAGACTTGATGAGACCTGATAGACTAGGGTCATATAGAAGGGGAGGATATCCTCCCCTATCAGTGGACTAGGGAAAGGGCAGAGGGGGAGAAGAGGGAGGATGGGTGGGAGTGGGAGGAGACCAGGGAGGTTGCTACAGATAGGGTACAAAGTAAAAAAAAAAATGTAATAAATAAATAAAAATAAATTAAAAATGATATTTTACTAAAAAAAGAATATCAATAAAGTCATAGAAATTTAAAAAAAAGAAGAAAATCTCAGAATGAATTGACTCTTCCTACTTCATTTAATTCTCTCATTGAATTAATGTCCCATTTGCCCTTTTCTGCTCTGTATTCTTTCCAAAATGTGTCTTATATTTCTATACCCTGCATAGCTCTATTTACCTGTGATTTGCTTGAGTTGCTGAGTGTTTGAATCAAGTCCATAAGCATAAGCTAAGTGCCAGGAGTGTTGTAGTCAGTTCTGTAAGTGTGTGCAGAGTGCCAGCTGTATGTAGACCCTGTTGCTTTGAAGGATGGCCCTGAAATCACAAGGAAGACAGGGAACCAACTCACCTTCCACTTTCATAAACTGTTTCTGCTGACTTCTTCTGAGGCATTGTGAAAAAAAGTTGGTTCCCAAATGTGTGTGGAAGCAGTTGCCGCACCAGGAAAAGTACATTCTGGTAACCACATACCTGACAAATGCATCTCAGCGCTAAACCGTGGAGACTCCCACCTGCTGCCAACTATAACTACCTTCTTTTATCATGATAATACACTCGCTGATTCTCTGGCAAAGTTTTTGGGCAGAAGTGTAATCAACATCTGGAGAAATTTGCTTATGATTCTGAGACTTCAGTCATCTTGTCAGTGTAGAGACGGCGATTTCTCTACACAGTAAGAATTTGTAATTCATGATCATAATTTTGAGCTTCAATCACACAAGTCTGTAATCTGTTTCTTTTAGTACCAGCTTCCCTTGTATGGTGAACACGCACACCTAATATTTTGTTAATTTCTGACACATTGTGTCATGCGGTGTTGGTATGGCATCAGAACATTTCCATTAGGCAGTGTTGTAATGCGGAAGAATGAAATCCCCCCAGAAAACAGGAGCCTGGAAGTGTCTAGATGACAAATGTGCTAATCATGGACAGTAATATCCTGAGGCATTGGGGTGGTTACAGCATGTGTCTGACATGAAACACTGACATACTAATTTCTGTATGTCTTCCTTTGTTTCTTTTTCGTAATGCTGGGGATTGAACCTGAGGTCTTGTAAATGCTAGGTAATCATTTCATCACTGAGTTACATTATTAGCCCATAAAGCAAATGTCAGACACAGAATATTCATGTACTCATTCATTCAGCAAGTATTTATTTACCACCTATGTGGGATATGGATTTTTCTACATATCTGAAATACATCAATGGACAAAATAATTATAAGCTCCAAGAAACTTACATACTCTAGTGAGAGTATACACTGATCTGACTTAGGATTGATTAGTTTAAAATATTTAGTTTATATTATAAAATGTTTAAAAACAAAAGCCAATACTCAAATGGAATGAAAGTAGAGTGGGGCAAATATTCGGTGGTAAGGTTTAAATGGAGAAGGGGATGGGAGACAAAAGAAAGAAGGAGGTTTAGGATGGGTAACCAAAACTAAAGCTAGAAAAATAAGTCATATACTACTGCTACTACTACTTTATAAGCTAATTAAAAATAACATTTAAGGGCCAGTGAGATTGTTCAGCAGGTAACAGTTGCCACACAAATATGTGTAGGCCTGACAGCCTGAGTTCAGTTCCCAGA